ATCGAAATTGATGGTCAAGCACACATACCGGGTGTAGGAGAGGACACAAACCAGAGACTCTAACACAGTCCTGTGTTGTCAATCAAATAGATATCAGGGCAACAAGGTCACACCGAAGCTAATCAAAGTGGAGGCAGACATACAAGCATCTAAATTCAAGGTCACTAAGCTCAACGAAATCGGCCACCCAGCCCAACAAACATCTGTCTACAGGCCTACACAGCGAAAGAGGAAAAAAATCGATCAATCTACGACTGTCTAACTCAGCCGGTCATTTGAAATTCTAATCGATTTTCCTCATTAAACGTTTTGAGGAAGTTAAGAACTGACAAGGGCCTAAAGGTTTACTTTGAGAAGGCGGACCGAGTAAGATACTTACAACGATACTTAGACTGTTTCGGTGAAATGTGGGAAGGATCTGTTGGATAGCAATTGCTGTGTCGGACTTCAGAATCTAAATTTGACCAATTTTCCACGAATAAATGCAGCAGTTGAATGCACCGCAGTGTCGGCAATGCGGATGTCGCCCCAGACTGGCAACCAGTCGAATAGGCCACTGAAGGAGACAGGAAAGACCTTGTTGATCTTATTGGCACCTAAGAAATATCAGCATTAATTCGAAACCATGTTCAAATCGGATGCGATATTTTTGTGCGAAAAAATGAGGTGAGAACTTGGTTTTATTTCATTCTACAAGTGCACTCCTCCTCCTACGCTTGTGTCAGTGTTTCATCTTCTCTCCTATTTTGCCTTCTCTTCTCCTCTTCCTGATACACTGTCTCGTCGTCCTTCTAAAATAAAGGTACAACGTCAATGCAGACAAGCAAAACCTCATGAGAAGAAGCATATTTTTTGTAAAAGAACAAATATACGGTTCATACACTATCGAATCAACGAAAAAATGCTGAATAGGAGGGATTCAGACAAGAATCATAGAATTCCTCGGATTCTTCTTCGTGCTCCTGCTCTCTCGTCTGACCTTGTGCCACTCTTTTGTCCTTTCGCACATTTCCTTCCCCTCCTTCTCCTTCACTTTCACGCGCACTTATACACGGCCGAAATGAAGGCCCCCTAATGTCGCCGCCGGCTACCAAAAGATAAGAATGCACTGTGACGAAGTATAGGAGCTACAGCAGCTTTGGAAGAAGTTGTCAAATGTGTTTAGCAATTGATGGCAGCGTTAGATACGAGTTATCTGATCAACTGTTCACGATAACATTGTACAGATGCCGTTGGTGACACTCATCTGCACATTCCAACGTGTCCAATTTGTCTGCATTCATGTCATGCATGCATTTTAGATGACCTTTAAGTTCCGATGGTACAAGAGCCTGTGATCTACCTTGTCGAATTTTCCGTCATCCCCGATGCGCAGGCTTTTAATGACATCCTACGGAAAGCCAAAGTGATATCGGCAAAGGGTAGGTATTCTCTTTGAAATGCTGGACAGTTTTTCCTACATTTAGATGTGAATCTACATTGAAACACCTGTGTAGGTAGTATTGTTGGCAAAGACAAGAGAGACTAGAATGGCCATGTTTGGCTTATTGGCCGTTGTCAGCTAGTCATATGCAACCCCAAGTGGTGCAGACATCTTCGATCAGAGTCAAATGCTCTAGCCACTCAGCCACGAACTCGTTTTACTGTCAGTTTAAGGCGGGAGATATTGACACTCGTTGATGAACATTCACCGACCGTTAATGGAACTCATTTGTTCGGCCCTACCCTTCACAGCAATTTTTCAAAAGCTGTGAAGTATACCATATACTTTATGTAGATTTGAATGGACACTATGCAGGCTTAACATTTTTTAAATATCGAAGTTTTTAAGATTGAAATGGAGACATCATTCGAGCGAACATTGCTAACGAAACGAGATCTATTATCAGTTGATTACAAGAAAGAATATTTTAAATTAGTAAAGTACTAAATCATGGAAGTATTGAAGATTTGACCAATAGTTATTGAGTCCCAACAACCAAATCTACCTAATGATCCTAAACAGTAGTGATTATAATTAGGTACATAAAAACGTACAAAGGTATAATAAATCGGACGATGGCGCGTAGTCTATAAATACCCAAACCTCTTAAAAGCAAATAAAAATCGAAATCCACCGTAGTCAAACAAAAACCACTGATATATAATCATATCGACCTCCTTTTTTGGCAAAATTTAACATACTCATCGAATACGATTTCAGTAGCAATGCACTAAACAACCGAAAAAGCAGGGAAGCGTTTCTGATCACTGCCGTTAGATGTCTAGAGTATCCGTAGATTAAATAAGGTCTATGGACAGTTATAAATCCCCGAATGGTTCTTCGAAGAATATCAGACAATGACCTCGTTGACAATATGACCAAATTTATAGGCCTAGTTGACCTGGCAGAAAATTTGGCTTAAAGGAAACCGATGTCTCTTGTCTACTGAAATTGGTTAAGTAACTTCTGCCCGTTGCCTGCTTATTGGTTAGGCGATTACCGGTTTAGGTTGGGAACTAGAGTAGCAGTTGGTTATAGGATTGTTTATGGATTTGTCTTGAACGCCTCCCCGAATTCTATAACCCTTAAGCTGGCAGTGGCTGTGCATCTAACCACGAAATTATCCCCATGGATTCTGGGAGATGGCTACTGTCATCTGTGGGGTCACTCATCTTCTCCCTAATATCGGTGGTTTCTAGTAGATCCCAGATAAACGTCTCAACAGTTGTCAAAAGGAATACTGCCATCTGCTACACGATCTTTTTCATCGGGCTTAACACGAGAGCCTGAAAACACTTTTTCGCATTAACAGCCCGGAATCTATTATCAAAAACAACAACGGTTGCGTTCGCGAGGCCCCCTTAACGTGCCAGACAAACTGGTTCCGATCACTTGGTACTATAGTTTAGTTTGCTAACTTCCAGCTGCTGTGGTATGGAAGCTTGTCAATCTTCTGACACCGTAACGGTAGAACATGGCGACCGGTGACACACGGCAGAGGGATCAAATCAGATGCGAAAGTATTCGAAGAAGTTTGAGGGTTAAAACGGCAAACAAAACCTTTATTTAACATCGTAAATTTACATTTATATACATACATAGATAAACATATATACACTGAATACTAGGGCAAGAATCAGAGGAAGTTATTGGATTACTAATTACTAACAGCAGCAAAGACACCTTCGGGAAAACGACAAATCCTCTTCCGATGCTTTCGGGGCCGTCCAATGGGAGAAAAAGAAAATATTTAAAGCGCAACAGTAAGAAAAGTTACTACATTTGGTTTTTGGCAGTCAGATGAATTATTCACGAACTTGTTGACTGACCTGCTGGCTTCGCGTTCTGCAATTCATAATCTAGAAGAGTGGGAGTAGGAGGCGTTCCAGACGCCGAGCGCACGGTTATATGTGTGGAGTCAGGCTGTTTCTTATCAGATGGGTCTGCAAAACAGAGTAAGTTGGTCAGTTTGTTATCGCTTATCGTCTGCGCCACAGTCGGGATCAAATAGATTTACTGGATGCCCGGCGAGTGTCTAGCGGTCTAG